CATCAATATAGTGAAAGGCTGTACAAATACAGTTATCAAAGCCTCAGTACCAGAAAAACACATGTGTAAAACAATTTTTAAACTAATATGGGGCAAAAGCACAAAATCAATGGAGCTGTCCTGTACATAACAGTGATGACAAACATGACTTGTACATAACAATGATGGCACAATGTACAGGAAAAGACAAAGTCATGCCTCCAGAGAGAATGCGCATTTTACACGCAAAAGTCCAGTATGTCACATAATTTAACCAGCAAAGGTGATTCTACTGAAAAATAATGGTGTTTTCAGAAACACCTAGTACGTGACACGACTGACGTACAAGTGATCCGAATTGTTAGTTTATTTGCAAACAAATAAACCGATTTCTTGAGCAAGTTAACCTTTTTCGATGACAAATAGCATAGGATCAAAGCACATGTAAAAGAACCCACCCAAAATACTAAATTTTGGACATTCTTGGAAGTTTGCATTGGTGTGCTCAAAATGACGCTCGAGGAATCACTAAAAAACGAACATATTTGGCACAAAATTAACAGACTCAAGATTATAAAGCTGACATGGGGTCTGAAACTGCTAATGCAGATTCTACATCCTATATTTGACGTGTGTATACGTTTTGGAGGAATAAATACTAATGCATCACATTTTATGCACACTAAAGACTAATGTGAGATGTGTGTGTTTTTCCCCACGTTTTGGCAATGGTTCATATCTGTGTTGTTAGTTCCTGTTTGTTTTACATTCTCAATCTTTATTTTTTGCAGGCAGCATATGAGAACATAGCAGCTCCAGAAAAGCTGATTTGCTTGATTCAAGCCATAAGAAGCACTGAGATCCCCACGGAGGTAGGTTATTAAAGCCTTTTATAGATAATGGAACATTTTAATGTTCAGGGAGGGATTTTTGTAGTTGTAAGTCTAGTACGCCTCAGCCCTTGTTGTATTGAGTGATTTAAAGTGGTTTCTGTTGGGTTTTGATTGTGTAAACCTCTGCTGTCCTACGTAGTTCACTTTCAGTGCATGTTCCTGGATGGAAGAGGGTTGCTTTCATATCATCAAATGTTGGGCTCCAGAGTAGATTTTTTTTTTTTTTTTTTTTTGGTAAGTGTTTCACAGCGGTTATAACCGTGTAAGATCATGTGAGCGCACGAGAGTTGATTTATGTGTCCCTTTGTATGCACTCACATGACGTAACCATTTCTGATTTATTTCATTTCAGCAACGGGCGTTGGCAGCTGTTCTACTTCGTCGTCTGTTTACAAACAATTTTGAAACGCTATGGCCAGAGATTACGGCGGAGATGCAAAATGGTGTGAAGCAAGAACTTATGACAGCAATACACCAAGAAACAGCTGCTCCTGTGCGCAAGAAAGTCTGCGATTGTTTCTCAGAACTTTCGAGGAATATGATTGGTGGGTCCACACGGTCCTGATATTTTATTTTCCCCTCAATTAATTGATTGTAAAAATCGGGAGGGCCATTAAACTTTTTCAATAGGAACTGACAATTAAAACAGTGTTGACCCTTTGAAACGGTTAGCTCCAATTTCTGGTTTGGATCCTGCGGCGCAGCATTTTGCAGTGTGGGTGGGTTTTTTGTATGCTATGTTTTTGTTTTTTTTTCAAACATCGTTCTGTGGTGGCCTATAAAAAAGATAAAGGCAGGTGGTTTCTGTGTTTGTGGCCTTTATTGCCATAGTAAATGTTGCTGGGTGACAGGGTGGTGTGAAAACATTTTTTTTAAAGAATGCAAGGGGGTAAATGGTAAGTGGCTGTTTGTATAGGTGATTGTTTTATACAAATGAATGTTTAAGCAGGTTTGGCTGTACATTGTGGAGACCTGAGACTTTTGTCTTTTGTCGATGAGACAGTCATCTGTTGTGACGAGGTTTTCTGGTTTTATGTCCTGTCTTTGCTGTTGTTCGAAGTTATCTTATTTTACCTTCTCATGTTGTTGTTGTCTTTTTAAAAAAATTTTTTTTTTTCATGGGTGTGTAGTTTAGAACATTTTGCTTACAATTCCAGCGTCTTTCTTGATTTTTTATTTCAGACGATGACAACAATATGCAGTGGCCCGAGGCCTTGAAGTTTCTGTTTGAGTGTGCCAGTTCGGAGAACCCTGTTCTGAAGGAAAGTGCTCTGCACATTCTCAGGTGAGTGTCGCGAGGTTAGGCGCCCGTGGAAGCAGAGCATTGTTCATCGTGTTGCGCCTTTGTGAGTGGTGCGGGTGGCTGGTGGGTTCTCTGGTGTGATTTACTCCTCCTTTTGTTGACTTTGCATTTTATCGTTATTATGTTTTTGGCATTATTATTGTGAAAGTTATGATGTTAGCACCTGTTCAAGGGTGGCTTTTACTGTGATACTAATGTAAAGCTAGTTTTTTATGTCATTTTTGGAAGCACTCTATTTAGGGAAAGTGTTATTGGCGCTGCTTAAGATAGAAACTGTTTTTCGCTTTTATTTTAAAATATGAGATAGTCCAACCCCTCAAATTGAAATAGTGAAAAAGTCAAATATTTAGGTGTATAAAAATAATTAATGTCCTTTCAATATTCAGAACTGAGGGTATCACATTTGAAGCGCCTCTGATTTTTATCATATTGTGTGATGTTAGTTTGTAAAAGCATGCACAAAGCACATAGAAGTATTTCGAATCTTTGTTCCAGAGACTGACATCTTGAGCTCGTGAATGTGGACAGATGTAGGCTGATGGTTGGAATGGCGAAGAAAGTGCCCCATGCTTTTTTGTTCTTGTTGTTGGCGCGTTTTAAAATTATTTTTTTGTTTGTTTGTATTTTTAAAATATTTTGTCTTTGCAGCTCAGTTCCCGGTATCTTTGGCAACCAGCAGTCGCAGTACCTGGAGGTGATCAAACAGATGCTGGGGGTCGCTCTCCAGGACCGGACGCATCCTCAGGTACTAAGAATAGAAATAATAACAGGGTTCTTGCAGCCTCCTTGAATTTAAGGGGTCCTTGAAAACTCCTTGAATTTGCATTCAATGAAAAATCTCCTTGAAAACTCCTTGAATTTCACCGGATCGGACATAAAAAATTTTTAAGTTGGATTTGCTCTTTGCGCGCCGTCAAAAACGGCGTAAATTACCAGACCAAGTCTCCTTGAATTTTTAAAATTTCTCCTTGAAATCTCCTTTAATTAGACCTGCATGTTTGCCGACAATCGTCTGAAATCCGACAATCGCGACCCGACCCGCGAACCGGCCGATGCTATCGCTAGGCCCGCCTGTATCAGTCAATGTGCGTAGTGCGAGGCTTGGCCGACTGCCAGCGACCCCTTTTTCTCCCGTCGGCTTCGTCGGCACTTTCGTTTTCGTGCCGACCGCCGACGCGCGCACCGCCGACTGCCGACGTCGGCGTTTCCGACATAATTGTCGGAACCTAAGTAGAAATGCGAATACGAAAAAGGACAACTTAAATTATCTACTTTCAGTTTCGTGCTCGAGCGGCCATTTTGAATTTCGTTTGTTGACTAATTCAATTGTTCAGATCGTGTGGATTCATTCAAGTCCGACTCTCTTGTTCTAATAGAATCTAGATCTAGATTTATATAGATCATTATAGACCTCAATGGAGGATTCATATTCCAATTCTATTGTGTCAAACCCTATCATAGGTTGTACTGTAATCTTTATATTGGTAAAAATAAGCATTTCATCAGGTGCGTGAATTGTTTATTTATTTAGTAAAGATCTAGAATCTAGATCTAGAATCTAGACTCAGCTGAGTCCCTCTGTTCGGAATCGGATGCGGATTTCTAGTTCAAGGCCTATTCCTATTCACTTGTTCTACAAGATCTAGATCTAGATTTATTTAGATTACTAGATTTCTAGATCTAGATATATATATATGAAGGATTCATATTATATATTCCAATTTTATTGTGTTATTGTATCAAACCCTATAGCAATGTAGATGTAAGCCATATATAGATCTAGATCTAGATTCTATATGCTCCTTGTTTGTTTTGGAGTGTTGTTTTTTAATTAAATTTTTTTTTTTCATTTAGGACTTGTTTTGGCCTTTTTACATGAGGCCCGTTGCAGGTTCTTTTTGGGGTTAGGGTTAGGTCTCTTCTTTATTGTGTTCGTTGGGATGGTCGCTCGTTACTCGGATGTTCTTCCTTATGACACCCACAAAGGCTTTTTTTGGGGGGGGGGGGGGGGTTGCGCAAAATTTTCAGACAATCTGGTTGAGGCTCACATGCAGGTCTATTTAATTTAGTGGGGAGTTCATGGCAGGAACCCTGTAATAATAATAGTTGCATTTATATAGCGCTTATCCACACCCGACAGCAAGCTCTATGTGCTTTTTCAAGCATTATTACCCCAGCAGACCATAGACCACTCAGAAACATTTTCGGCTTCTGCATACAGTGCAAGCTGTGGATTTCACATGCTCAAACATGTAATAACTGACAAGATCTTCCGCTGTTTTTAGCCAGATACCCATTTCCAACTGGGTGCCTTGTCTTCAGTGTAATGTAATAGTGTTATTCTAAACTTTTCTTAGTTCATGTTGTCTTATATGTATGTTCTAGACCATAACTTATCAGAAATTGAACATATTTGAGCTGAAGAACTGTAAATCGTATATCTGTTAGAAAACAACTTTCCTGACCTGATCAAAATTTGTTTCAACAGGTGTGTTTTGAGGCAGTCAAAGCAACAACTGCTTTTGTTGTGAATAACGAGAAGGAACAGCATCTGCTCAACCACTTCAAAGACCTGTTGCCTTTCTTGATTCAGGTATTTTTTTAAAAGACTTGTATTGTGTCAGTTGTTGTGTCAATATTATGATTACTAAAACGTCTTGGTCCGTCAGTCATTTATTTATGTGAGGGTAGTGGATATGGTTTTTTCTGACAACACAAATACTGTAAAACATTTTTTTTAAACGTTTGAGTAGCATAAAATCTTCAAATGGGGGATGGCTTGTTGTCGCACTTCTTAAAGTGTCCAGTGGCTTCTTTTCTTTTCACTTTATTGCTAACTGTGTAGGGGATGCACTTTCCGGACAGCTTACTACTTTCAGGTTTTTTGCTCATAAATTGTGTCAATTTCCCAGCTCACAGAAGGAAACAAATTCTCAAAGGGTACTTTTTCCCCCCCTCTTATTTTTGTGGATAATCTGCCTCTTGTAAAATTGTTTGTTCATTATTATGAAATATTGTTATGCAAGTTTTGATGGGTAGTTCATATCATTTTGAGTGCTGGCCAAAGTACGTCACAGGTATCATCAGTGGATGTAGCTCTTGTTTTTTTGGGGGGGTTTTTTAAGCTTTAGAAAAATATTTATTATACATTTCTCTAGCCTCAAAGCCTCACCCATATTGGCTTTAGTTCAAGTGAAATGTTTTCCTTGTGTTGCTATGGTGATATCCTGTGTTTTGTTGCAGCTTTGCTAGAATTTGCTAGGGCATTGCACAGGGGCGACCAGCAATGGCATGGTTGTGAAATTGTTGTATATTGGTGGAATGTTGTGTGTGTGTGTCGTGTGTGTTTATAATTGTGTATTTATGTATGTTTGCCGTTGTAAACCTAATCGCCTTTGTGGGATCAATAAAAATGTAATGTATTTTTTATTATTTTTGTGGCGGTGTCCTCAGGGAATTGCTGACAGTATTGCGGCACAAGAAGATGACACTTTGCTCAAATGCCTTATCGAACTCTCGGAGAATGTCCCAAAGTTTCTCAGAAGTCACCTGGAGAGCATCATTGAACTTTGCTTGAGGGTGAGGTGGATTCTAATTCCTCACAGTTGGGATTTGTCATAAAATATTGAATAGTCACCTTTTTCAACTTTTTTGTGCATTGTGTATATTATTTTGTTATATATTTGTATGTGCTCATTTTAGTGATGTGTAAACGTGCGCGTTTGATAAGCAAGTGTGTTTGGCGTGCTTGTGTGTGTGTGTTCACGTGTGAATATTGTTTGTTCGTACATTTATGTTAAGAGCCTAGAGCTGTGTTTACACGGGAGTGAGCGCTATAGAAATGATCTGTGGGTGGTTGGCGGGTGCTCTGGTGTGGTTTGCTTCTTCTTTCGTATCAAACATCTATCGTCTTTATCTCTCCTCCTTTTTTGTGTTTGTTACTCTTGTAACACCTCTAATCTTTGGCACTTATATGACCTTATTGTGTCGCAAGTGCCGTAGAACTCTTAGTAAAAAATAAAAAATAATCTTCATTATTGGTGCTGCCAGGTTGTGTCAGACACGAACCTAGAGGACACGTGGCGCCAGCTGGGTCTGGAGGTGATCGTAACCATGTCGGAGACCGCCCCCGCCATGGTGCGCAAGTTTGCCAAGTTCATTCCTCTTTTGGGTGAGTCGTTTTGTTTTGTTTGTTGTGGGGGTTAGAGAAGGGTGTGTCTGTGATGGTCGGCAAGTTTGCCTAGTTCATTCCTATTTTGGGTGAGTTGTTGTATGTGCGACTGCTGGTTTGTTGTGGAGGTGGGAGAAGGATATTTATGTCCACGATGATTCGCAAGTTTGCCAAGTTCATTCCTCTCTTACGTGAGTTTTTGCTTTGTTTTGTTTGGTTTGTTGTGGGGGTTAGAGAAGGGTGTGTCACGTGTGGTTGGCGGGTGCTCTGGTGTGGTTTGTTTTTTCTTTCCTATCAAACATCAATCGTCTTTATCTCCCCTCCTTCTATTTTGTGTTCGTTATTCTCTTGGAACACTATAATCTTCGGCACTTATATGACCTTATTGTGTTGCAAGTACCGTAAAACTCTTACTTAAACAAAGTTCCTTATCTTACATTGTTGGTTTTTCAGTTCAACAAGTATTGGCCTTGATGGTTGACCTTGAGGATGAGGCCGAGTGGTCGATTCAAGACGTGGAGGATGACGAGGACACAGACTCGTGAGTGTCTTAACCCTTTTGGTTCGGTGACAAATAGCACGTGCTGTCTGGGTTCCTGCGGCCTCCTTGAATTCAAGTATTCCTTGAAATCTTCAGTTTCGCCGGAACGGACATGATGAACAAACTTTTTGTCAGACTGCTCTTGGTGCGCTGTTGAAAATGGCATGAATTTCTTGACCAAATCTCTATGAATTTTAAAAATTTCTCCTTGAAGTACCCTTGAATTTAGTGTGGAGTTCATGACAGGAAGCCTGTATGATTTCAACGTATTACGCTGTCAAATGCATGAGAGCCGGTAAACCAAGCGAGTGAGGGTTGTGAACCTATACATCATCAGAAAGTAGAATGAACTTGAAGGAGAGCTCGTGTGTGGAGGAGCTGAAAGATTAATTGTTTGGCGATATAAGAAATATGAGATAAACGACCCGGTTTACGGCAAATTAGATAAATGCTACATCACAAATAAATTTATGGCCAGTTAGATAAGCTACGTCACTAAAATAAATTTATGGACAATCAGATAAGCTACATCACTTAAAGAAATTTACAGCCGATCAGATAAGCTACATCTCAGAAATAAATTTAGGTCTGAATAATGCGGCCGTCAACAGTTGGAGGAAGGTTAAGTTGTAATTTCAGCTGGTTCTAAGGTTTCATATATATGTGTTTGCTACGATTTTTGGAGATGCACACCTGGACCATAGGTTTCTTTGTTCGTCTTGTCATTTGTTTTTCTGTTCTCCAAGTTTTAAATTTGTAGCCATGATTTTGCCGTTAGTTGGTAAATAACTGACAGTGTTACGGGACTGGGTATAGAAGATGCTATACTGTCAAATCGGCTCTTACGGGTCACCTGTAGAAGACAATCACCTGTACAAGCGGACACTTTCCATCCCCCCCTGCACCGCAAAAATTTTTTTTTTTTTAAACATAAAAATAACACTATAAGATGTCCACCCGTTTAAGACTGGCACTTTTTTTCTTGGCAATAGGTGGCTGTCTTTGACAATTTGTTTTTTGCGATAACTCGCGTTGAAATTATTGTTTGTTTCTGTAGATAATAATAATGAATATATTTCTTTTATATACAGAATCCCATTTCTATTATTTAGTGCTTTGAGTGTACTATTTTTGAATTCATGCTTTCTTTTTCAGAAACCCAATAGCAGGTGAAGCAGCTCTGGACAGGCTGGCTTGTGCCCTGGGTGGGAAGATCATGCTGCCGCAGATTGTGGGGAACATATCGCAGATGTTGCAGCACGGTGAGTCTTCCGCGTGTGGCTGGTGGTGGTGGTGGTCTGGTTGTTGGTCTCTTCTCCTCCCCCCCCCCCCCCCCGGGCGGTGCTACTGACTGAAGTATCTTTAGGCCATTCCCAAAGGGGGACATTAACATGTTCTTATGCACAGTAGCAGAAATAAAAGGAGAATTACAATGGCTAAGGCTAGTTTCAATAAAATGAGCCCAATCCTGAAAAATAGAAACTTCTCAATGAACACCAAAATGAAAGTTCTGAAATGCCATGTTTTGTCAACCCTTCTATATGGCTGTGAATGCTGGACAATCACTAAAGACTGAAAATAAAATAGAAGCAACAGAAATGTAGTTTCTTGGGAGACTGCTAAGAGTATCGTGGAAGGAAAAGAAATCAAATGAGGTTGTGCTTGATGCCAAAGCCCACGTGGGACACTCAATGTTAAAACCAATCAGGAAACGACAAATGCAGTTTTTGGGGCACCTGAATAGACATAAGGGTTTTGAACATCTAGCTCTCACTGGCAAAATTGAGGGTGAACGAGGCAGTGGTAGGCCCTGAACAACATACTTAGGGAACCTAAACAAATGGGTATCAGGGAAAGATCAGGGAAACGTAGCTTTCTTGAGAGCATCTGAGCAAAGGAATGAATGGAGAACCATGATTGTCGATGTCTGTCGCAGATCTGGTACTGGATGATGATGCGCAGTAGAATTGTAAGTGGGCTGATTTATCAATGTCATGCTGTGCCGGAACAACACAGGGGGAACAGCTGCTTGTTCTTTCCTTATCCTATGTTCATTTTTCCTCTACTTTTGTATGTTTGTCACTCTCTTGTGAACTGCTATTTCCGGGGTGCCTCGATGGTCGAAGCAGACTTTATGCTGTTGATGCTAGAGGGGTGAGCAGAGTAAGCTTGGTTCCCCTGTAAGGACTTCTCTGTTGACATCCACCCCTTGGTGCTCATATGACCTTATGCCGTTGCAAGCGCCGTAAAACCTAACTAAAACAAATAATGCCTGTCTACCTACTTTCAAAGGTGAATCATTTGACTGTCTACTTATCTACAACTGAATAAGCGTTTGTTTCCAAATCTGTGTATTGCCTGCGAAAAATTTAGTAATATTTGGACTGATCAATTTCCATCGTGGTGTTCCGATATAGAATGAATGAAGTGGGTGGTTGGCGGGTGCTCTGGTGTGGTTAGTTCCTTCTTTCCTATAAAAATTTATCGTCTTTATCTCTCCTTCTTTTTTATGTTTGTAACTCTCTTGTAACACTTTTAATTTTTGGCACTTATATGACCTTATTGTGTTGCAAGTGCCGTAAAATTCTTACTAAAACTAAACTAAGAACACAGGTTGAATATAGGAAGAGCTGGTGAAAAGGGTAGAGATCTCATTACCCCTTATCTGAGAAGTTGATGAAAGAAAGCGCAGTTTGTTTGTCCTCCGATGCAGAATGAGTGAAGTGTTTTATTTTTTTCTCTCCCTGGCAGACGACTGGAAGTACCGGTACGCTGGCCTGATGGCCGTCTCGGCCTGCGGTGAGGGCTGCCACACCCACATGGAGCAGATGCTTGCCAATATAGTGGACGCCGTGCTGCCTTTTGCCGCCGACCCGGTCAGTCTGCGCCGTGTACTTCTTTCTTGTGGTCTGGTGTCCGCACCTATGTAACAGTTGAACAAGTGCAAATTAAAGTTTTGTATTGTTTTATGTTTGGACCCCCCCCCCCCAGTATTTTTTGCGATGGTATACCTAATTGTCAGTATGGCTGGTAGGCCTGGCTGTTGTGGTATTTTAAAAGTAAGTTCATCACAGATCATTCATGGTTTGTATTTGCTAAAATCAGTTCATTACATTGTTTCATCGTGTGGAAGTATAAATGACTTTTATTTTGTCATCACAACTGTTTTCATTGTTACTTATTTATGTTGGGTTTTGTTGTTGTTGTTGTTTTTTTGGTTTAAAAAAAATGATTGGAACAAATTCTTGTATATTGGGGTTGGTGGATCTGCGTCTCTTCACTGATTCTGTTGATGTTCATCATCATCATTTGTATGCCCTTCCGTCCTCAGCACCCGAGGGTAAGGTATGCAGCTTGCAATGCCCTGGGGCAGCTCTGTACAGACTTTGGACCAAATTGTCAAAAGAAATTCCACACCAAGGTATGTGTTTTCTTTAGACGTTTGTGCCTATATCTTTGCAGAGTCATGGCCGTAGTAGTGACCCCTCTTGTAAAATGCGAAGTGATCTTCATTACCTGTTGTCTGTTACGCTAAATGATTTCCCCACAAAGTATCCCTGCCCTCTTTTTTATGTAATTATAATTAACCTGAAAATGGCAGCCAAAGTTAAGTGATTTCCAAAGCGTGAATGTCCTTGGAAACTGTAAATGTACTTTTTTTTTGTGCTTTTGATTGTTTTCCAGTAAAATTCACATTGAAATGTGTTATTATATGGATACAAAAGGCGTTGGGCCAAAAATATAAAAAAATTGAATAATGCAAACTGGCTGTAAGATGCCGATATCTTCGATTCAGTTATTTTGACAAGCACTTGATTTTACCACGCTGCCTCACAAATGATCTCCCTTTATATGTTCTGTTCCCTCTCTTTATTTAAATGCACACACACACACACACAGACAGTCGCTAATGTAAAGCT